GCCAAAAAGTGAGGTTCGTCACACCTACTGGAGCCAAGTTCGATCTATCGTCACGCATGGTTTGCGGCCCATAGCCTTTGCATCGTAGGGACAGCTGGGGTCATCTCGCGCAGCTCTGGCATCTGTGACGGGGCCTACAGCCTTTCCGTGTTTTCATTAACGACGTATGATATCATTAGCTAGCATATACTCACTCGGTATTATCACCTTCTCATCTGTGTTGTTATCGTTTACAGGGTGGATTGATTGGCTCGGAGCAGTACAGGATGTGAGTACAGCTGGGGGGTGCGACAGTTTCAAGAAAGCGTGTCGTTGCGAGCTGCAGGCTTTTGAACGACGCATCGTGTTGCACCTCCAGAATGTCTCATCGCCATCGCGGCCGTGGAACGTGGACATCTCACTGAAACAGTACGGTCTGTGTCAGTCTGTGTCGGAGCTCGGCGGCACCTACGGACCTCCGCACAGCGCATCCGTCCCGCCGGCAAGCACTACACCTATTAGTGGAGACAATTTGCAAGTGCGCTCTTCTATGTCGCATACCATACGTTCGACTACAAGGTCATATAACAAATTAAATGGATCTTAACTATGCCAAGAAGCTGGGTCTGAAAATCTGAAGATTGAGGACGGCACCGCTAGAGACGTCGGAGACATGATTATACAGGCTCTACAAACACTCGCCGCACAGGTGGGCTTGTCCCCATAAGTCGCGCCATCGTCAACTTTGCCACGAAATCGTCGCCGCAGGCATGAGGACAAGTTCAAGCTTAGGCGCTGCATATACGACCGCACACGACTTGATGAGAGTGGCCCCGCGCATGAGCAAGCTGACCTTGTTCACTTTCTACATGCTGTCTTGGTTGACACCAGAAATTGGGTACGCACTCTGCGTAAGCGGCGATGTCACGGTTGAGCGACGCTACTAGTCAATCGTCCGGTACTACTGTCTGTTCCACGTCTGTACGGCGTACACGCGAGGGCTGAGCATACTTGCGTAATTTATGACACGTTACCGTTACGAGTCTAGATCTGTAGCGATGTTCTGCTTCGTTGCTGACCTCCTACTTGCAGATACAGTAAGTAAAGACGGCAAACTATTTCGATGTTTCGGGACCGACTCATTCATCTTATCTTATCTTATCCTCAAATCACGTGATTGAAAATCACGAGTCGGGTGCGCAGCGGACTCGACACTTTCGACCTCGACGACGACGAAAGCCACGGTCGCAGCTCATTCCATTCTCTCTCATATGTGGCTATAACTGTACCCTGGATCTGTATCTTTACAACACTCAAATCTGACTCAGTTCGTCGCAAAATGCTCAGCATTCTTCCTTCGTTAGGCCGCGGCTCAGGCTCCTCTCTCCCTTTGCCTGTCCTCATCGTCGCTGGGATCTCGACAGCGGTAGCAACGTTCGTTTCAGCAACCTCCATCTTTCTGCATCTCAGAAACTACCGGAAACCTCGGTTGCAACGGTTCGCTATTCTCTGGTACTGATTCAGTACCCGCTCGGCTCATTAGGCTTGGTTCACTCTTGCAGCATGGTCATCCGAATAATGGTCATGGTGCCCCTTTACGCCATATCCTCTCTCATCTCTCTCTTTTCCCTCGAAGCCGCGTTCTTCATCGATGCTGTCCGTGATATCTACGAGGTGCGTACACCCTTCCCTCGGCGCCAATAGCGTCTCCCGGGCTGCGCAGCATGTACAGGGATCGCACTGTCTCAGCAAAGGCATTGAATGGCCCAGCTTACAACAGTAGCTCGGCCAGGTCTGTGCGTATGCCAGCCATTGCCCGGGATCTCCACGAGTCTCGTCTCCGAGCTGCATTTGATTGACTCCACACTCTAGGCGTTCGTCATCTACTGCTTTTTCGATCTCCTTCTCCAATATCTAGGAGGAGAACGCTCCCTCATGATCTCGCTGCATGGCCGCTCTCCAAAGTATCCCGTCTTTCCTGGAAACTTATTCTGGCCAGAAGTTGACGTCAGCGATCCGTATACGTTCCTCTTCTTGAAGCGGGGTATCATTCGTAAGTCTTAAACTTAAGCATGCCTTCTGTTCACTGACGATGACTACCACAGAGTATGTCCAGGTCAAACCTGTTTTGGCCATAGTCACCATCAT